TATTAAAATATATATATATATATATGTATATGTAATTATTATAAAAATAAAAAAAACCGGAAACGTAGTATGAAATCTTCAAAAATTTAATAATGATAATAATAGGAGTTTAAAAACGATTTTTTTTTCGAATTATAAATAATAATAATAATAAACCTAGTTTTTATTTTTTTATTTATTAAATGGGTTACTATTTTATTATTATTATTATTATTTATCCCTTGAGCGGATAAACTAGTTATATTATTAAAAAAATAACGACATTCTTTAGGTGCAAAAATATGTAAAAAAAATTTTCCTTTTTTTTTTTCGGTGATAAAATGCCGGCTTATCAGTAAAAACAATAACCGGAAGTTGTTTCCTCGTTCTGATTCTTATTTTAATATGTTAATAAACCTACAACGATTATCATCATCATCATCATTGTGGTCGTGGTGGTGGGGGTGATAACAATAGAAAATATTTAACGATAAGAACAAAAAAAAAAAACTTTCGAACCTGTTTTTAATTATTATTATTATTATTACGTTTCGCATACGTTAATCATAATATACATATATTGTATTTGAAATTTAAAAAAAATCTTGCAAATTATTATTATTATTACTATTATTATTATTAAGCGAGTTCGTCGGTTTTTATTTATTTAACCGTAAGTTAAATATTAAAAATACACGCATTCATTTTGTATAATAATTTATATCTTCGTATAAATATCATAACAATGAGTTGATATTTAATAATAATAATAATAATAATGACGATGATGATAATAATAATAATAACAATATCGCAGTATTTATGTTAAAATAATTTTTACCGTTAAAAATATTATATGTATACTCGTTTGTTTGTTTTTTTTTTTTTTTTTTACACACATCATAAAATTAATTTATAATAATATTTATAATTTATAAATTTGGCAACAGTGTAATGTACTTAATTAAAAATAAAAATTAATTTATTATCATTATTATTATAAATATTATTATCATCGATAAGGGAAAATGATTAGGAATTGTTTTCGTTTTCTCTCGTTCGATGGATACGGGAGCAAAGATGAATAATAATAATAATAAAGTTGGAAAGGTATATGTGATACCAATAAAGTGGGGGTAGGGGTGAGGGTGAGAGTGGTAAAAAGGTGGTAAAACGAAAGATAATGATTGTAATAATAATAATGAATTTAAATCCTATGATTTTTCAACGGATTTTGTTTTTTATTACCACCCTTGTTATTTTTCGTTTTCAAACTTCCGTTTCCGGTTTGTGGAAATTTTTTCTGCGATGACCCGTGACAATTTTTTTGCGCGACCGGAAACATGTATTCCAAATCGATGTCGTAACGTGGTAATTTTTCTCTCAGGTAATTAATTATGTTAATTTTAAGACTTTGATTTCGGCTCAATATCAAACTGGATAAGTACCGAGTGCTCCCCGATTTTTCCGCGCAATGCAATAACAAGCCAAAGGATTGATAATCCGAATCCAATACGTACGTGTTGTATATACCCTCGTCTGAAAAGAAAAACAACGATGATAATATTAATAATAATAAAACGGATACAGAAACGAAGAAGAAAACGTTCGTTAATAATGACGTAATTAATTTCCACATGTAACAAACTTGGTTACGTATGTGATTACGTCACGTTTTAATAATAATTAATAATTACACGTGTCTTCAGCGTGTATCCAATGTGCCGGCTGATTGAAATCGGGTATCTGCCACGTGATATTACCAGATAATTTTTCACGATCCGGATCGTCCACGAAACTATAATTGAATTTCATCGATATGTCGAGATTTTCATGGGAGAGAGTAAATTTGGCTTTCATGCAACTATATTCTGGCATTTCTTCAGAACTCGCATAATATTCAACGATGTACCATATTCCCATAAGCTAAAATACAAAATGCGAATTGAATTAATAACAAAGAAATACCACGTGGTTATCGTGGTTTTAGAAAATGTTTAATTCGTCATGACGTTTTACTTATAACTAATTAAAAATTGAACGTTTTAGTCATAGGTAGTAGTAGTATTAAAAAAACCTTCAACTTTACACGCCGGGAATCACGATGATGATGATGATGATGACTAAGACAATCGAAATACGGTTGAAGGATAATTATGGAAGTTGTTATTGTTGTTGTGTTATAATAATAATAATAATAATAATCACGATTACGATTTTTTGCCAAAAAAAAAAAAACAAAAAAATTACGACGCGATCGAAATAATACGACGTGTTTTGAGTTTTAAAATTTAAATAAAAAAAATTATTATTATTATTATTATTATTATTATTATTATTATTATTATTATTATTATTATTATCCACCATTAAACACGACAAGGCTACTTGTCGGGATTTTTTTTTAAGTATTTATCCGAGGTTTCTACCCGATTCCTTAGGGACAAATACTCGAATTTCGGTGGTGCCACTTATTATAAGATAGCACCACATCAATTCTTGAAGGTCTTCCTGAGTCCGTCTTTTTCGATGGGAACGATTTGTCTCCTGAACTGGGCTCCGGTGACTAACATCTTTGGA